CGAAGCAGTTGTTGCAGAAACCGAGCCGCTAGACGTTGGCTGACACCCCCTACCACACGTCCTCCTAGATTTCTTGCCTCCTGCTGTTGCAACACCTGACCAACCAAACAAGAACTTAGCTCATAAACCTAAGCATGGGGTGAAAATATCTGAATATAAGCCATGTGATCACCTGTAATATCGGCTGCAAAAGGGCTGGATCAAAGTTTTCGGAAGAACGAAGAAGCCTCCAGACCCTAAAGACCTGATCCCGAAGTTCTAGCGTGCTTTGGATTTCAGAGCTGGTCATCAGAAGAGGACTAAAATTTCCATTCCCGTTAAAGATTAGCGATTTCAAAAATTCAGGAACGGAATTGTATGTATCAACAACTGTGCCCAGAGCAACAGCTTCGCTAACGCGGACAGCCTCTTTGATTACCAAAACCCTGAGCTCCTCGCCATTTGGATCCAGAAGCAGCTTTAGAACAGGTTGTAAAGCATCTTCCGCCGAAAAATCCCTATCTTTGCTACCCTGTTGTAGAAGGTTTTCAAGTCTATTCCACCGAAATTTTCCATCCTTGAACAGAAGCTCGATAAGGGCATCCCTTAGGTACGGATTCTGGTCTGTGAGAAGCCTCTTGGCAAAATATGGGTATGAAGCAGCTAAAACTTTAAAATCAGGATCCGCGTAGAGGGCCAAACCTTCAAGCACTGTTAGCGATCTCAAGATTAATGCGTAGTAAGCTGGGACATTAAACGGATATTGATAGAAGACAGAACCAAGACCATCGACCAATGTCTTAAAATTGAGCTCGCTGACGGTATAAGTAAGAGCGTCATCAAAGAAGTTCTGCAGTGCTGGTACAATAGGAGAAACGTCCACATCAGGAGCTAAGAACTTGAGAGCATAATAATCACGGGCCATGGCCTCGTAATCACGGTTAACCAAGTGAACAACGTGACCGATAATAGCAAATCTAGCCTCCTCCGGTGTCTCACTCATCATTCCAAAGTCGAGAAAGGCAAGTTTTCCATCAGGTGTTGCCAAGAGGTTGCCAGGATGAGGGTCGGCATGGAAAAAGCCATACTCCAGGAGTTGCCTAAGGCTACACTGAATACCTGTGTTCACGAGATCCAAAACCTTCAAACCCTGCCTCTCAATGGCATCTTGTTCGTTCAGTTTAGTACCATCAACCCACTCCATTGTTAGCACTTTGCGACTTGTATAATCCCAGAATATGTCAGGTACAAGAACATCTGCCTTATCAGCATACAGTTTCTTGAACCTCCTAGCATTCTGAGCTTCCTGGACATAATTAAGCTCCTGATAAACCCGGCCGGCAAATTCATCTATGAGGGCCACAACATCGCTCGTGATGAAGTCTACATATTTGTTTATGAGGGTCCCGACACCTCTAATGAGATAAAAGTCAAGCCCGATGGCTTCTTCTATTCCCGGGCGTTGAACTTTCACTGCAACAACCTGGCCCGAATACTTCAGCTGGGCTTTGTAAACTTGACCTAGACTAGCTGCTGCAATTGGTGCTGCAGAGATAGACGAGAAGATGGAATCGAGAGACAAACCCAACTCTTTCTCGATACATGAAAATGCCTCTGCATCAGGGAAAGTTGGCAAAGCATCCTACTTGTACACTCAAACCAACAAAAAAACAAAGTTAGAGACATTCCGCAACAAAAAAGCAAATCATTAAGTTGAAAGCCGGCAAATAGTTGTTTAGAGTTAGAACTTTGCAACCTTCACTTTGTATGAATGATTAACAATTATTCCATTTTTACACGATAACTGGAGCAATTGGAAGTGGAATCTACATGTAAGTGAAACAAATTCACAGGGGAAAAAGCTGAACCTGAAGCTCTGCAAGCTCTTCGAGATAATCGGGTGGGCAGAGGTCGGGTCGGGTGGACAATCCCTGACCCAATTTGACAAAAGTAGGACCCAAACGAGTGAAAATCCGTCTCAGCTCAGCTGCTCTCTTCCTCATGTTCTGCTGCAGCTTCCCGTTTCTTTGATCAATCCCCAAATTCAGCGCGAACCCACCCAAAGCTACCAAAATCTCCAAGCTTCTATTCAAAGCCTAGGTCCAAAATCACCCGAATCCCCTCAACCTCGCTTCGCTCAAATCGAAATGCGAAAAAATCAAAAACCGGGAAAACCGGCGAAGTAGCTCACCTTTATGGGCTTGGAGCCGTATTCCGCAGCTAGAAGGTTGGGAGAATAAACAGAAGCATCAACAGCACGAGCCAAGGCTCTCGCCTCCGCTTGGAGATCATCGGCGAGATCCGTTAGCCGGTACCTCACAACCGCCGTCGGCGGAGAAGGAGTTACCGCCGCCGCCGCCATAGCTCTGTCTTCCCTCGGCCTAGCCTCGATCAGAGCCGCTAGAGCCATCCTTCTCCGATTGACCATCAGTAACGAACATTTCCCGCCATGTCTCCTCGAACTGCGCAACGAAACAGCATCGCCAACAAGCGATAAACCCGCCGGCACACCAATCACCAGACTCATCGTCATCGGGGAGAGGGAGAGGGAGAGAGAGAGAGATTTTGAACTATTTTGCGTTGGCTAAATGATTGCTCGACGAGTGACCGCCATTGAAGGGGGGGATGGGAGAAAAATGGAATGGGGGATATTTAATTATTTATGAGAGTTTTGAATGTTTCGGTTACTTAGATTCACCTAATTTTCAATTTTATAAAATAATTCAAAAAAAAAAAACATAAATAAAAGGTAAGGTCCACACTCTTCTCATGCCGTGGCCTTCTGTTCTACTACGATCTCATCGAAAAAGACTCTTTGAGTTTTCACTTGGACCCCAAAAAAAAGGCGTTATTTCTTATATTTTTTTTTGTATGGATGAGAAATATTTATCACATAAATGTAATAAAACGGTTCACATAATAACATTTCCGGATAGTTAGTAAGATCTGGTGAGGAAATCACATCTTTTGTAGAATGCAGACATATATAGTTTCTACTTGAAATTTTTATTTCTAGTTGAAAATCATTCCAATAGTAAAATGAAATAGAATATAAGAGTATAGAGGAGAATAAGATTAAGAAGGACGAGCATCATTATCTGGAGGAGAATCCCGACTCCAGCGGCTTGCTGCTGCTTGACCTGACCTTGCGGGTCGTGATCCGACGGCGAAACCTGCCGCCTCTAAACAAATTCTAGGGTTTCTCTCAGTGTTACTTCGTCTCGCTTCTCTTCCACTTCTTCTTCTACTTCGTCTTCCTTGACGCAGAGTCACGGAACCAGTCCTTCACGTTCGGAGATGAGTAATTCTCTGACTAAGAATGCATTTTATAATTTATACGCATCAACGTTTCCAACTCCCCAGGTGGACTTGCGTTTTGGGCCTTAATGGGCCTAAATAACATTAACTCAATGGGCTTCATTCTTTCCCATAAAAATGGCCCACTTATTAAAAAAAATTCACATGAATTTTGACAGTATTCGGGGAAAAAAAAAAACCCAATCTACAATTTTCTCCCAGAAAAATCCATTGACCAAGCTAATCCAAAAATCCGTTGACGGATCACTGACGTGGCACGTCTAAAACGCTGACTTGTCTCTGTAATGCCAAAATTGGTATTAACCAAATTTGGGCATCTCATAAATAAATATAATTGTTTGTTTAATACTTTTGTGGAAACCAAATAACACCAGTTTATACCTAAAAAGAAAGTTTTATAGATTTTAACATTTTAATCACTAATTCTAAAAGTTCTTCCGTATTTGAAAGCATTATATAATCATTTAATACAATTATATCTGTACAACATATAATGATAATTGATAATGTTTTTAGAAATTGTAAATTAGAAAGTTCAAACACGACTCTATCTTATTTTCAAGGGAACATACTTTTAAATGAATGTTTATTGTAATTAACGGATAAAAAAGGGGTTCGCCCCCATGTCAGCTGGTTGTGAGCGGGGAGTATCCATGAGGTGGGGAGTTCGATTTTTCGCTGTCTCACTTACTCTGACCTGCTCGTCTGCCAGTCTGTCATAATGGACTGATTTACCTCCTACGTGTGTGTTGCAGGCTCATGTACGTGGGTTTGGAGTTTGATCCGTAGGCACCTAAGCCCAACTACGGTCCGGACGTTAGGCACGCCTGGTGGTCAGGTCTGCGGTGGACCGTTAGGCGCAGGTGGTGACCAGTTCGTCTCCGTTTGTAAAGGAAGATAGTCACGGGATTCCTAATGTTATAAAAAAAAGGATAAAAAAATTCTCTTAACAAAAAAAATACTCTTCCATTTGCTATTTTCTTTGGTATACACTTCCATTATACCAAGAGAATGAACAAAAATAAAATAACTATAAAAGCAGCCATCACAAAACAGAGAACGTAAAAAATTTAAAAATATATTAGAAAAAAAACACGAAATGAAAAAAAAAAAGAAATCATCAACATATTCCATAAAAAATGAACTTTATACTGACAAGAAATACTTTGGATTTATTTTATGTGCATGTGTATATACACGTGTTTGTATGTATTTTACATCTTTTTATTTTTATTTTTATTAATATATATATATATATTATTTATATATTTGTATATACACATATATATGTGTGTGTATTATGTATATTTATATGTATAAATGTGTATATATATGTGTATAAGAGTGTATATGTATGTGTATGTATATTTATATATGTGTATCTATATATATTATATTTATATATATACATAATTTATTTATATTTTTAAAAAATTGGAGTTTTTCCATGTAGTTGATGTGGCGCTACGTGTCATTGAATCTGTGAGTTTATGATTATGTTCGTATATTTTAATAAAAGTTTCAAATTCTGTTTATTTATTTATATAGAAGTTTGTTGAAAGTTGATGTTTTTTATGCGATTATTTATTTATTTATAGATAATCGTTTTTTATTTTTGTATAAATCATATCGATTACAATTTTCTGTAGAGTTTTGCTTGGAATTTGATCCATCACTTCCACCGATTCAATTATTCTGATTTTAAGAAAATAGTATCAAACGATTGAATCCAGCTGGATCACAGCCCTCTACATGCCTTTTGTCCAGTGACGATAAATTTGGCTCACGCATACAAAAATCTCATATAAAAAAAAATTAAATAACAGAAAGCCAAGCATTTCCCATGACCCTTTTTTGTATCATTGTCGTGTAACAAAATGATAAAACAATGAAAATGGAATTATTATGACACCGTAGTAATCCCCGAAACAAACCTAACAAGACCTCCAATAAGTTTTCTGCCTCATATATCACTTTGCATTTCCAATAAGAATAATAACACACCCATTTATTGGTAATGAAATTACCCAACTTCCTTTTTGCCTCCATAGCCTCAGCTCTTCTCGGGTTCCCATGTTCAGGGTGGTCGGACCAGAGGCTCTGTTTCCGGCTTTGTTGCATTGTAACCGGACAGCAGAAATCAAACCTTGAATCCGGACATTGGATTAAGGATTCCGAACCGAAGGTTGAAAAGATTGCGAAAACAGGAAAGTGAAGTCTTCTTTATTTACCTGGGCGTGTTCCGTTTTGTATTTCTGAAGTTCTTCTTGGGCACAGATGAGCCTAAGGAGAGAAGGAAACAATGGAATGGAGAATGTCAAAAAACTGAAACTGTCATAGCAATAGCATTGTGGAATTTACCTCCACTGGAGATCGGTTACTTCGTTGAGCAACTCTTTCTCCCTTTCATGTGCTGCTTCAAGCTGAAGATTTAACAGAAGAGCACTTCTGTGTTATTAACTCTCGGTGATTAGAGTAATCAGAAGGAGGTCATTGTTTCATATCAAGCTTGTTGAATGAAGAAAGCGAACGTTAAGGACAATGTACCAAAGATTTCTCGGTAGGAGGTACACTGGGTGGTTGCACGCTTCCTGAGTCGAGTGGATGTCCATCTACATTGGAGAAACAGAGATGTAAATCACCCGGAACGAAAATTCTCATAGGGAGAGGAAAACAAACACAGAGATAAAGAGTGAGAAACTGCATGAAAAAACCGACCTGTGGATTCTCTAGTGGCGAGTAGCTTCATCATATGCAGAATGTTATCCTGTTTGGAACGGCGTAAAACGTGCAACGAACGCTCCGTTGGTAATAATTTACAAAGAAAAGAGCAGAATCCAAGCAAAGCAAAAGGAGTACCCTTTCCAAAATGTTTGTCTGGAGAACAGGATACACCAACTGGTAAATGTATGAGCTCGAAAGATTTGGTGATATGGCATCGGACCCTGAAACAGAGGAGGCCAGAGAAAGGGCAGGATGTTGGCTGAGCACCTACATGACCCCAAAAGTGTTTGACCTAAGAAAACCCGAGATGAACGATAACGTAATAGACATGGTTGAATCTACAGCTGATCATATGCTGACCTCAGAACTACTACCAACCTGCATGCTGTGACTCTTTTGCAGGATTGGAGAGGGAACCACCTGAAAATATAATGTGAATACGAATCCATCCAACCTGATCAACTTAAAGGAGAAACGTAAAAAAACTTTTCTCCCAAGTCACCTTTTCTATTTCCAGATTTTCCGAAGTGACTTTGAACCGCCCTCGTTGCTGCACAACTGGTGGCTTTGATTTGTCGTCAGATTCATCAACAGGCACTCCTACCGATACCATTTCATTAGATTACAACACACAGATCAGCAGGCAACAAACAGACCCATATTCAAACATGTAGAAATCCTGCAAAAGATAAACTAAACAAATTTGTTTATGCTCACCTGATGGTTTAGATACTTTTGCAGGCAGCTCTGAAAGCACTCCATCTCCTCCTAGTGTAGAGACTACTCCATTGTTGGTTGGGACATTCTGGTGCAGATCATGTGCTTTATCGCTGAAGGATCACATCACACATAACAATTAAATATTTCAAAATCTTAGGTTCTGTACATGTCAGCGAATAGATAGCAAGATGAACTTCACGATTTAACTTTTATGGGATCAAAGAAGATCAAAATCCAGCGTGTTCGAAGATTTCAAAAGTCTAGTATGCGATATAACCGTTAAGCAACAAGAGCTAGAAATTCAAACCAAACAAAACTCAAACAAAGTACCTATGTGTTAGAAGACTAACCTTTCTCCTCTAGTAGGAGCAGAATTTCTATCTGGTGAAACAACACTGCCTGCTAAATGCACTGTTCTTGAATTGGAAGGCACTGATACAGAATTTGAAGATTTCTCAGGGATTGAATGCAAGCTCCCAACATTGGTATTATTTACAGATTGATCGTCATGACGAGGAGAAGAAAAGACATAGTTATCATAACTTGGGCTGGCAAGGCTTGAATCATCATCAGATTTATCTGATCGGACCCTGACAAATCATAATATTCTTAGTCAAGGCTTAAATTCAGCTTTAAGTAGTTTCCAGTCATAAGAATTAGAATTTAGACCCACCTTGTCATGCTTAGATTTCTGTCGATTAGGTGCTGAAGAGGCCTACTTGCGATATAATCGTTATCTTCCTGCAGAGATTAGATTATAAGGAAATATCAATGACCTTGAATAAATAATACAGATAAAAGGAAACATTTCTAGCACCGAACTTGTAAGAACAAACATTTCTGAGATCTATAAATTTAAGAAAGTTTCTACAAGAAGCCACCTGAGTCTCTGGCTGCATATCCTGTGAATCTAGTGCATGCAAAGAACTTGAGCTTCCCACCAAATTGTTCTCCGCTAAGCAATCATCAAAGTCCTGGATCTGATGAAAATACAATCGTCAATGTATGACATAAGAACTTATAGTGACGACTATGTTAGGATTTGATGAGACCATTGTTATACCAGCGATGCCTGGGCTTTCATATCTTCGAGATTGAAATTCCACCCACTAATACCTCTTTTATATTCATTCTGCATGTTACTACGATAAGAGGTTAAAAGGCTAAATACACCGAAGACCAAATAACAACAGATCAGGGAATTCAAAATCAAATAAGAGAAAACTTTTCTTTCTTGGAACAAATAAGACAAAAATCAGAGTTAGAACTGGAAAACACAGACCTGTGACAGTTCCTCCTTCTCCCCATCTGGCATTTTCTTTTGTGCAAGCATATCTTCTTCCTTTCTCTAAATTTGGAAAACATTGCACCAATCAATAATGGCTATATGATGCAATGGATGATTTTACATTATAACCATGGACCGTGTATTTTGTTCGATGGGTCCAACCTTTATAGCCTGCACACGATCAACAAGATCTGGCAATCCGTCCAGAAGTCTCCGTGCAATGTAATCACTTGACCTTGCTTGCTTGAAAAAGGAATGCTTTAGCAACTTCTTAGCAGTAGGGCGCTTGGTAGGATCTTTAACCAGACAGTTGGCAATCATTTGCTTGAAAGACTGAAGATACCACGAAAAGAGGCAAAATTGAAATCACAACGGGCTACCATTCTTATCAGAACATTAAAGTTTCAAGTGGAAAACATAAACGGAACATTAAAGTTTTCAGACCGAACATACTCTAGAAAACTTTCTATCTCTTTCATAATCCAGCCCAGGCGGTGCATTTTGCAAGGTCATAAGCAGAACCTGGAACCACATGTTTGCTTTAGATTGGATCAGTTTATGCAAATCTTTCATGCTGAATTTCATAAGTTATAAGCCTATGAACCTTCATTGGTGGATATTTGGAAAAAGGAGCATGACCATGAGCAAGCTCCAAAGCGGTTATACCAAAAGACCATATGTCAGCCCTGATAAAGAAGATTAAAAATAAAACATACATACCATTATTCTTCCTAGTAAACATTAAAAGACCACAAGAGATAACTTTGGATACGGGGATAAACTAACTTGAAGTCATAACCATGTAGTTGCTCCATAACCTCTGGAGCCATCCTGGCAAAAAACAAGAATTTAAAAGTAGACCCTGAATATGAAGCCTGAATTGATACATTGTTGATGCACATCACACTAATAAGGAATTGAGTCAAGCACTAGTTAGATCATTAGCGCATACCAGCAAGGTGTTCCCACAAATGTATTCCTTGTCCGTTGCCTATCTCCTGAGTCAAAGAGGCAGGCAGATACACCAAAGTCTCCCAACTTGATTCCACCTCGAGCACCAATCAGAATATTACCAGCCTAAAAAGACTTCATGATAAGATCATCGTGACCAAATAATAGGAGAATGAAGGTACAAGTTCTATTGACTGGAGGTTAGAATGAATCATTGTCTTGCGACATCCAAAGAGATAACAAATAACTTCCCCACTGTCGTTTTGATAATGAACACTTTGGATGATCATGCAACTAAGACGTACGATGAATCTAACAAATATTTGCAGAGAACTGAAAGCATAGCATATCCGAAAGGATCAATCACTGACTTTGACGTCGCGATGTATGTGGCCATGTTGATGGAGATACTCTAAGCCCTTCAAGGCTTCACGCAGAACTGTAGCTATAACAACCTCCTCAAAACCATCTTGATATGCAGCTTTTAGTATGTGAAGACAAGAACCACCAGACATGTATGGCATGACAACCCACAAGTTGTGATCACTAACAAAGGAGCAATGTGATTTCAACACATTGGGATGGTCTATCAGCATCATCGTTTGTGCTTCACGAGAAATGTTGTTCTGCAAGAAAACACATAAAGGCGAAATATATACGATGAGCCACCACATGACGAAACCATCCTTAATCAGAGAGCAAAACAAGCAACAGGAGAATCACCAGGTCGCAGTTATCACGTTCGAAATCGAGAATCTTGACTGCCACAATTTCATTGAATGGTATGCATAAAGCACGATGCACGGAAGCACTGACACCCTGTCCCACAGACTCATAAAGGGTGTAATGCTCCGGTCCAATCGGATATTTCTTCTTGTCCATCTTTCAGATCCTTGCTCAGTAGAATCAGTGCCAAACAGAACTAACCCGTTGCTTCCTCCAAACCTAAAGCATCAATCCATAAACCAGACGAGAAACATGTTTTTAAACCATCCAAAATCCGAATTCCACAACAAAACTATAAAATGTACCTTCAAATTAAAAAACAACGATAAATTCAATGGCAGTTGACTTACATATAGGACCATGAAATCACGAATTCAGAAGCTCATGTGTGGCTTCGGAGAGCACCAAGTACGAAAAGCGCTAAAAGAGAGACCATGCTTTTGGAATAAGCTTTTACCGGTAAAAAAGAACACAACAAAAAAAATAAAAGGAGAATCGGAGATTACCTGGAATTCGGCGGAGACAACGCGGATGCAGCTGAGAACAGATGCGGGAGTCCTAATCTCAATAAAACGCATCTACAAAAATAATAAAGGAAAAAAAATTCAAACTACGTAATCTCGTCGTAATCGTAACAAATAAATATACAAAAAAATCCCGAAAAATGCGGGGGGAGAATTCATCGCACCGGGAAAAAGAAGACGTTCACGGGAAAAAAATCAGAAAAAGTGAGGGAAACAGAAGGAAAATGATTAAAGAGAAGAGTGATGGAAAAGGAAAGAGATATCGTGGGGATGAAGATACTTGATGACGATCGTAATGTTTCTTCTGATCTTTCTCGCTGGCACTTTCTATCCAAAAATTTCCCGAGAAAGTTATCGAAAAGAAAATGGCAGAGAGATAGAGAGAGGGAGAGCGATGCAATCGGATCGCCGCTCAAATGGGAGAGAGGAGCCTTTCCTGTCCCGGGAATCCCGCCACTTCAGCTTCTTTTTTTTTTTTTTTTTTTTTTCCTTTCCCCCTTTTAATCCTTTTTTTTTTTTTTTTTTTTAATATATTTTTC